AGAGCAGACCTTTTCAATGACACAAAACTCAACCCATCCCGAATGCCTCTTCATATAATACATTTAAAACTGAATTTTAAAGCTCCTTTACTTTCTCTTGAGGGGACCCAGACTCTACAAGTTCCATCTCCTGGTTAATTTTCTGTTTAACTTCCAATTTTATTATCAGATATGGAACCAAATAAGACACGGCATTGACTATTTTCCATTGATTCCCCGGTGAGAGAAAGTGCTACAGTCGAGTTTCCTTCCTCAGGCCCAAAACATGGAGTTGAGACCACCTGGTAGCCTAGTTTCTCCTTGTTCTGTGGACACGACAAGTGTTAACACTTCCATGGGCCAATAATCAAAAATCTGGAGTTTTTCTGTGGAGTTCGGAGTGGAGGGTAGTGGACCATGAAGGTTCTGTGGCAACAAAAACCCTTCCCTTGTATCTCAAATGACACCAGGTAAGGCTGCAGAAATCACACTGACAGAAACCTCCAAAAACAGAGAAACCAAAAACCCGGGAGCATCTGCTGTCTAAGGTCACAGCCTGAGATAGTTATCCCAGGTGGCTTTTTGGTTAAGGATCCTCATCCATGTGTTGAGAACAAAGCATGTGAATTCTTAACTGAACAGGTGTAGTAAGAGAATTTGAGATACAGGAGATCAAGACCAGAAAGCTGGAGTCACTGATTGGAATCGCTGTAGGTAAGCAGAGTAAGTAGCAGGTGCTGGAGGAGCAGAGGGCTGCTAGGTCCCCAGAAGCTCCTCGGTGTAGGAGTGCCAAAGCGAAGATTAACGATCAAACACGCTGAATTACGAAGACAGGAACTGGACTCTTACTGAGGCACTCTCTTAATTGAGATACTGATGGGATCCACACAACCAGCTCTAGTTATGTGTTACGGCAACAACTAAAATAAAGCCCCATATCAGCAATACCAGTGTCAGGAATAGCAACGATAAGAACTATCACCCACTGGCTAAGTGAGGCTTGGCAAATGGTTCTCTTGAAAATGGACAAATTTGAAGCTTGGCAGAAGATAAAAAACTTAAAGCCAAGGACAGAGATTTAACCTTCCCCAAGTCTTGCTTTGTGGTCCCTGAAAAGTGATGCATGTTTTCAAAAGTGGCAGAATAGGGTGAGGTAAGGGGAACCCATTGACCCAATCATCAACAGGAGAACAGGCCACCTTCCAGACTGCTAATCTTTCCAATCAGGAATCTCTTCAGAGCTTAGAAGCCCATTTAGAATCTACAGTGGCTCTTCTTTGACTATCAAATAGCCTAAATTCTTTAGAATGGGATAAAAACTTTTCACTACCTGAGCTTCTTTTTAGTGTAATTTCCAGGCACTTCTCTTATATACCTTTCACTCTAGCTACACTGTTTCTCAAACTCACCATTTGTAGACTACAATGACGTTTTTATTTTGGTAAAATATGTATAACATACTATTGATCATTGTAACCATTCATAAGTGTAGAGTAGATAAACTCATAGAGACAGAAAGTAGAATAAAGGTTACCTTCCACTTCTGCAAAAAAAAAAAAAAACTTGTTTCAAACGTGAATGTATTGAATCTGTAGCTTACTTTAGGTAGTAATGACATTTAAACAATGTTAAGTCTTACTATCCATGAACAGTGGATATTCTTCATTTTGATATGTAAAAATGTCTTTCAGCAATGTTTGGTAGTTTTCAGCACATAAATTTTTACCTCCTCTGTGAGATTTATTCCTCAGTATTTAGTTCTTTTAAATGCTGTCATAAATGGAATTGCTTTCTGATTTTCTCTTTAGATTGTTCACTGCTGTTGTGCAGAAACAACTGATTTTTGTGTGTTGATCTTGTCATCTACAATTTGGCTGAATTTGTTTATTAGCTCTAGTAAATTTCTTGTGGATTCTTCGGAATTCTCTAAACATAGCATCATCATGTCATCAGCAAATATAGTTTTCCTCTTCCTTTTCTTCCTTTTTCTTAGCTAACATTTCTGACTAGGATTACTAGCACAGTGTTGAATAGCAGCTGTCAAAGTGGGCGTTCTTGTCTTGTTCCTTATCTTAGGGGAAAACTTTTGGTCTTTCACCACTACATGGATATTTCATAAATATCATGTTGAGGAATTTCCCCCATACTCTTAGTTTTCTAAGAAGTTTTTGTCATGAAAGGGTGTTGGATTTTGTCAAATGTCTTTGCTGGATCAGGGGAGATGATCACAGCCCCCCCTCCCCCCCACTGCCCTGGTTTTTTAAAATTAATGTGATGTTACATTGATTAACCTTACATTGATTGGTTTTATATTGAACTTGTATTCTTGGAATAAGTCCCACTTGGTCATGGTAAACAATCCTTTTGATATGTCGTTGAAGTTAATTTGCTCATACTTTGCTGAGTATTTTGGCCTCTATATTCATCAGTTCAGTTCAGTCGCTCGGTCATGTCCGACTCTTTGCAACCCCATGAATCGCAGCACGCCAGGCCTCCCTGTCTGTCACCAACTCCGGGAGTTTACTCAAACTCATGTCCATTGAGGCGGTGATGCCATCCAGCCATTTCATTCTCTGTCGTCCCCTTCTCCTCCTGCCCCCAATCCCTCCCAGCATCAGGGTCTTTTCCAATGAGTCAACTCTTCGCATCAGGTGGCCAAAGTACTGGAGTTTCAGCTTTAGCATCAGTCCTTCCAATGAACACTCAGGACTGATCTCCTTTAGGATGCACTGGTTGGATCTCCTTGCAGTCCAAGGGACTCTCAAGAGTAACACCACAGTTCAAAAGCATCAATTTTTCGGTGCTCAGCTTTCTTTATAGTCCAACTTTCACATCCATACATGACCACTGGAAAAACCATAGCCTTGACTAGATGGACCTTTGTTGGCAAAGTAATGTCTCTGCTTTTTAATATGCTGTCTAGGTTGGTCTTAACTTTCCTTCCAAGGAATAAGTGTCTTTTAATTTCATGGCTGCAATCACCATCTGCAGTGATGTTGGAGCCCAAAAAAATAAAGTCAGCCACTGTGTCCACTGTTTCCCCATCTATTTCCCATGAAGTGATGGGACCAGATGGCACGATCTTAGTTTTCTGAATGTTGAGCTTCAAACCAACTTTTTCATTCTCCTCTTTCAGTTTCATCAAGAGGCTTTTTAGTTCCTTTTCACTTTCAGCCATGAGGGTGGTGCCATCTGCATACCTGAGGTTATTGATATTTCCCCCGGCAATCTTGATTCCAGCTTGTGCTTCCTCCAGCCCAGCGTTTCTCATGATGTACTCTGCATATAAGTTAAATAAGCAGGGTGACAATATACATCCTTGATGTACTCCTTTTGCTATTTAGAACCAGTCTGTTGCTCCATGTCCAGTTCTAACTGTTGCTTCCTGACCTGCATACAGGTTTCTCAAGAGGCAGGTCAGGTGGTCTGGTATTCCCATCTCTTTCAGAATTCATAGGGGGATTTTAATTTGCAATTTTCTTTTTGTGTCTATCTGGCTCTAATATCAGGGTAATTATGGCCTCATAGAATGAGTTAGGAAGTGTTCCTTCCTCTTCCATTTTCTTTGGGTAAGAGATTAAGAACTGATGTCAATTATCTTTAGGTATTTGGTAGAACTCACCTGTGAAGCCATGTGCTCCTGGACTTTTCTTAGTCTACGCTAGTCAGGGATGAAGCTCTAGTGCTTAAAGAAAACAATTCCTCCTGCAAGGTATTTTCTCAAGAGAGCCAAAGCCCACAAAAGAATTTTCCCAGGAACCCCTACCAATACATTTAGTTCAGTCTTTTGCTTCACTGTTTAAATTACTTCTGGTTATTTCAAAATAAATTACACCTGCAAGAGTGAAAAATATATGAATTCCTATTGCAAGGGCAAAGATTCACAAGATAGCATGAGGAACTACTTTCAGGATTGATCATCAGAGTAATTCCAAAGTGACATTTTGAGGGAGATAGCAATTTAAAAGTAAGCTGCAGTGCGTAATTAGATTCATTACTTCATTACTTATGCATACATTATGTGAATGGTGTGCTTCAGGTCACAAAGGCTGGGTTAGAGCATATCAAGTCATAAGTACACAACTTGCTTTATTATCCACTTGAAAATCTTGAGGTCTGTTTAAAAAACACATGTGTTATATTGCTCTTTATAGAAACTGGGAGTTAAAAATCAAAGGTAAAAGCTTGTCCTCAGAATTGGATGGTCTGGGATAACTCTATAGTTATTATGACTAATCAGGCATATTAAAATCAGATTAGATAAACCCAAGAATTAAACTTCCTGGTTCTTCAGGCTTTTCTGAACTCCCAGCTTTCCTTTACCTTGATCCAAGATTTTTGGGGTTTTTTCCCTCCACAATTTTTCTAGGCACTTATCAGTGCCTCATCAGTACTTATAAGTGTATTCAGATGCCTATAAATTAAGAAGACCATAAGAAACGAAAAGAAACTTTGCTTCAGCTGCTGCAGCTGGGATATTTTGGCTATAGAGCTCTATGAAACAGTATTGGTATGAAATAATTGACAGAAAACTAATGAAGAATAATAGTGTCTGCATTTCCTTTTATCCCCAAGGTAGGGTGGAGGAGGGCATGACTTCTAGACCTCCCTATTAATCTCTTTGCTCTTTTCATCTTTGGCCATGGAAAAATCTGCTTCTTGATCTTAGATTGGCCACCCAAATCTGTATAGCATTCATTAATGTGATCTCCTCAAATACAGCTGCAACCCATTTTCTTTGAATTTTTCTTTGTCTGCTACATTTGTTAAAATTAGACTGTAAGTCCCTTGAGGCAGAGATCTTTTTATTCCACATATAATTCTTTTGGCCATGTGTTAATATCGAAATTTAGAACACCTACCCTTATTTATAAAATCGATTTTCATGTTTAAACTGCTAAAGGAATCATGAAAGGGGAAGAAAGGATGTGTCCCAAGGACAGGCTACTTGATAAATGTGATCTCATTTCATCTTTTGAAGACCCTGCAATGGAGTTTTGTTCCTATTTGACAGATGAGGCTCAGAAAGAAGTGGTTTGGCTGCAAATGTAAACCAAACTTTGGTTGATGTCAAAAATCTCATGCTCTTTCCCTATACTGTCTTCCTCAGATTTGTACTGGAAACAACCGAGATCTGAATCCAGTCGATCCAGGCCCTTAACTCCTTCATGGTTCCTTAACTCAAATTCTACAGCTTCAACACTGCAGAAACCAAAGTAAAATAAGTAAAGTCGCTCAGTCATGTCCGACTCTTTGCGACCCCATGGACTGTAGCCTTCCAGGCTCCTCTGTCCATGGGATTTTCCAGGCAAGAGTACTGGAGTGGGTTGCCATTTCCTGCTCCAGGGCATCTTTCCGACCCAGGGACCAAGCTCAATGGTAAAGCAAGTGTAAGTTTATTAAACATGTGCTATTGATGACTTAGCTTTTAACAGCACTTTGAGAAGTGATTAGGACACCAGATTAAATATAAATTTGGCATGGATGCTATAGATTAGGCTGCATCATAGAACAGAGGTGCCCAAGCTTTCTTAATTCAAGGTACTCCTAGGCCAAAAGAAACAGCTACCCATTTTCTTTCATTAAGTAGGTAGGGACTAACAACTTAATAAGTACTTCCATCTTAATATATTACAAAAAGTGTTTAAAAGTATACATGTAGATCAAAATAAAGATATCTTTATTTAATTCTAAAATTATAATTATCTGCATCTATTGGGCACTGTTCAACTTCTCAAAGTTTGAAATAAAATCACATTCATTTCTTGTTAAAGATTGATTTTTCACTTCATACCTGCTTTTTCTCACAGCAACCACCTAAAACCTAGTCTTAGAAAGATATTTTTGTTGTTGTTCTTTAGTCGCTAAGTCATGTTCAATTCTTTATGACCTCATGTACTGTAGCCCACCAGGCTCCTCTGTCCGTGGGATTTTCCCAGGCAAGAATACTGGAGTGGGTTGTCATTTTCTTCTCTAGGGAATCTTCCTGATCCAGGGATCAAATCAGCATCTCCTGCTAGGCAGCTGGATTCTTTACTATTGAGCCACCCGGGGAGCCCATGGTAACATCAAAAAATGTGCACTTTCATGTCGAAACTGTAAACTATTTTGAGCTATTATTCTACACGGTATCTGACAGATTCGCTCTGTTTCCTTCAAAAATTTAAAATATCCCATAGTTCTCACTACAGCACCTTGGGATGCCTAGGGTCAGGCGAGCCTTAAGAAAATCATTTAGCTCCCTTCTTTTTTCTTCCTTCTCTCCCTCCTTTCTTCCCTTCTCTACTTTCTCCCTTCCTACATTTTTTTCCTATGCTTGTTTTATAATGCTAAAGCCTCTTGAAGCTTCATTTGTAACTCTAATTCTTTCTCCATGACATCTTATATTTTACACTGAAATATGCAACCTGGAGTGAAATCAATGGAAAAGCCTATGTTTTGACTGAAGGACATATGGAAATCTGATGTTTAGACACATTTCCCCAGCAACAAAGCAAAGTTTTCACCAAAGAATTTTTACATTATCTTATTGACAGTCTCACACTTGGTGCATCAGGCAAGACAGAAAGAAAAAGAGAGAGGGAGAGGGAGGAACGAAGGGAGAGAAAATAAACTTGCATGATACATCTTTTAAAAGTGCATCAAGTACCATGCACATTCTTGGAGCAGGACAACACAGAGGGCAAGGCTGGGCTCCCACAGAACCCAGGCATCACAGGGTCAATCCTAGATACATATCTACCGGCTCAGGTCAAGTTCACATGGAAGATGGAGTCAAGGGAATAGGAAGAGTATACAGCCCAGGAGCATATAGGCTTTGGAGTCAAGCTGAGTTCAGGTTCTGCCTCTACAGCTTAGTGGTTCTGTGTCCCTTGCAAGTTACTTAATCTTGTGGGCTTTAGTTTTTGTTTTCCCTCAGCAAAATGAGAATAACAATACCTATCTCAGGGCTGTGTTTTCAGGAGGAACACTTGTAAAGTCCACATCATTTTGTCTGATGCTTTTAAAGGCTAGATGGTTAATGATTATCAGCATTGTCATTATGATGAAAACAGGGCTAGGCATGATGAGAGACAACAGAGACGAGATCAGCTGAAGAAAGGCAAAGGTGCAGCAACAGTGGGGAGAATGGCAAGGTATACGTCAACAAGTGGACACATACAGAATTCTCAGTGACCGCTGACGGGAATGTAGATTGGTACAACCCTTGCAAAGCACCATTTGATGGTGTGCACAAATGCAACACCACTTCTTGATATAAGTTTACACAAATGCATACATATGTGGACCCAAACATACATTCACAGCATCATTATTCCAACAGCCACAAAATCAGAAACAACTCAAAAGTAGGATGGATAATCACAATGGGGTATATTCATACAATGGAATTGTATTCGGCATGGAAAGTGAATGAACGACTGCCACACACAACCACATGGATGTGTCTCACGTGCAATGCTGAGCAAAAGAAGGCAGACACACAAGACAGCACATGCCATGTGATTCCATTTCCATGAAACTCATGAACATACAGACCAACCTATGATGTTAGAAATAAGGCCTGTAAGCTCTTGGGGGACAGAGCTGGTGACTGGGAAGGTGCACGGGCAGCCTGCTGTCTCATGTCAGAGGTGACGCTTTTCTTCTGCCCTGGATAGTGTGACTCTAGGCTTTCGGTGGTATTTCCACGTCTGCAAGGTTTTCATTAAATCAGTACTATGCTGGAACCCACTGTTTATTAATAAAGAAATGACTGCACGTATCTATCTCAAAAAGGAAGCACCGAGAAGGCTCCCTCCGATACTCGGCCAACACTTCCCCCTCCTCCTGCGGATGGAACAGGATGATCATAAGTGGCTGAGTCACTGCAGGGCTCCCAGAGGGTCAAGAGCAGATCCTTGCATTTTAAATGTGATCTCTTCTTAGAACCACATACCGGGTTTGGGAGGTATGTACTGAAGTCTTTTACTTTTTTTTTTTTAACTCAATGACTGATGACATAATTTAAACTTAGATTCCTTAAAGACACAAAAAAGGCTGAAACATTTTGGGATAAAACCACAAGCTGAAGAGGGTGGAGATTTAAAATGAAAACTGTCCTGTAACCACAGGGTGCCTGATGTTCCTGTGACTGTACAATCCAAATAAATTATTTCAATTCTGATAGTTGTGAGACTTGTTCATTACACAAACTGCTTTTATTGTGACAGAAATCACTTCATTTAGTGAACACCAATGACATCAGGTAGAAATAAACAGTTGATGTAAATAGATCCAAAAAAAAAATGCCAGAAAAGAGGCAGAGCTTATTTTAGACAAATCCAGTTTTTGAAAATTTGTGGGTTATTAAAGAAGGGGGTGATTCCTCAGATTTTTCAAAATGTTGCCACGATTCTTTAATTGGCAGGCTCTTCCTGTGCATTCCGAAAGGACTGAAGTTCCAAACACAGGTTTCCATATAAACTTTTCCGTAACACATCTGTTGTGGAAAATAAAAGCTTTGTAATATGGGGCCCCAAACAATGCATAAAGAGGAAGATAAGATTTTAAAATGTTTATTGAAAATGGAAAATTCTTCCTGCATGAGGAAGAGGTAACCAGACCCACCATACAAACAGGTTCTGACTTGAAGACTGGTGATTTAAAGAAAATGCAACCACTTGCATTTTTTTTTCCTAAAAATAAACCCAAGGGCGCTTAATTGAAAAGATATGCTATGGCAGCCGTTATTAGATTTTAGGTCAAATAACCAGTGGGTTCAACTCAATGTGAGACAGGGAAGCCTCATTAAAGACTGTAGCTGAAGAGCCATTAGTGAGGCCAGTATAAATCATTGCCCTTTGAAAACTGATGTGGTTGCTCTCCTTTGCTTTGAAGGTTTGAAATAGAAATTTATTCTTCTTCACAGATGCTTCAGCTGGTTGTGTTTTAATTATAGACCTTGACTAAAAGCGCAAGAAGAAGAGCAAACAGAGCCAGGCCCACAGACATCTTCAGTGCAAAGTCCTGGTGCAGTCTTTGCAATCGTAGCACCATTCGGGAACTGGCCGAGTCTTGCTGGGTTGCAGCTGAGGTGTGGGATACTGAATTCAGGTGGTTCCCAAGCCTATTTCTGAATTCCTACGGAGAGAGAAACATAGAGGAAAGCGAAAGGTTTTAAAGACAAAAAAAAAAGAAAAAAAGCACTGATATTATATCAATTCAGCAAAAGATCCCTAGAAGGAACTAATTTTTTTATTGTGATATAATTGATATATAACATTGTATTAGTTTCAGTTGTACAACATAAGGATTCAATATCTGTATACACTGTGAAATGAGCACCACAGTAGATCTTGTTACAGCACAGTTACAAAATTCTTCCCTAGTAATGAGAGCTTTTAAAGATCTATTCTCTAGAACTTCCAAATATACAAGGCAGAATTGTTAACTATAGTTACCATGCTGTACTTACATCCCTGGGATGTATTTCTAACTGTAAGTTTGTATCTTTTGACTCTCTTCACCCATGTCTCCCACCTGCCACGCCCCTGTCTCTGACAACCACTGATTGGTTCTCTGCATCTATACGATCGGTTTTGTTATTTTAGATTCCATGTCTTTCTCTGACGCATTTCACTTAGTATAATGCCCTCAAGGTTCATTCATGCTGTTGTGAATGCCAAGATTTCCTTCTTTTTTATACCTGAGTAATATTCCATTGCATATATAGGCCACATCTTCCTTGTCCATTCATCCATTGATGGACATTTGGGTTGCTTCCATGCCCATGTCTTGGCTACTGTAAAAAACACTGCAATGGACATGGGAATGCAGGTATCTTTCTGAGTTAGTGTTTTTGTTTCCTTTGGGCTAACACTCCAAGTAGAATTGCTGGATCAAACCATAGTCCTATTTTTAATTTGTTGAGGAAACTCCATACTGCTTTTCAGAGTGGCTGCACCAGTCTACATTTCCACCCACAGTGCACGAGAGTGCCTGTTTCTCCATGTGCTCACCGGCATTTGTTAGCTCTCATCTCTTTTGATAATAGCCATTCTAACAGGTATGAGGGTATATCTTATTGTGTTTTTAATTTACATTTCCCTGATGATTAGTGCTGAAGAGCATCTTTGCACGCACCTGTTGGCCATCTGTATGTCTTCTTTGATAAACTGTCTACAGTATTCAGATCCTCTGCTCATTTTTAAATTCACTTATCTGTTTTGGTATTGAGCTACATGAGTTCTTTATATGTTTGGGGTATCAACCCCCCCCCCCCATCAGATATCAAAAAAAACAGTCTGCAAGTATTTCCTCGCATTCGGTTGGATGCCTTTTCCTTTTGTTGATGGCCTCCTTCGCACTGCAGAAGCGTTCTAGTTTGATGTAAGAAGCAGCTATCACTTACTCCTTCACCAGAGACGCATTCAAACACCCACCACAGTCAGGTGGGCCAAGCCAGGTATAAGCGAGGGTTCCTTTCCTTTAAGGGTCAGACCAAGTTCATAAATTTCCAGGTTATACTCAAACTATATGGGAGAGACAAAGAGTGTTTATGGAGAATCAAGGCAGAATTCCTGAAGGGCAGAACTGATGTGGAGTTGCATCACAAAGGAGCTTAACTTTGCGGGACATGACTGTATCCACTCGGGCAAAGAACAATGACAAAGGAAAAGCCAAGGAAGTAATTCCATTCAGCAAACACCCTGGTTGGAGGAGGGCGGCTCCGGACCCTCAGGGGTACCTGAAGGGGTCTGGGTGGCCAGAGGGATCCACCCCACACGCAGCCCTTCCCTTGACCCTGGGGTGCCATGTAACCCTCTGGGTGACCCTCTGGGTACCACACATGGAAAGACTGGGAAACCCAGCTCGGCAGGGGCACAAGGAGCCAGGAGACCTGGCAGAATTTTGAGGTGGTGTCTGTTCCCTGAGGCATCTCTGCAGGTGTGGGGAGGACGGGGGCCCCTGGCCACTCTCAGGGTGGTTCTAGGGTTTCAAAGTGTAGTTCTGAGTCCATGATGTAAGATTCCACCTGATGCCCGGGCCTTAGAACCAGTGCCTCCCCTGCTGAAACCTGAATAACATTTTGAGAGATGGAGGTGGGGTTGGGGGAAGGAGAATACTGGGTGGAAGGAATGAACCAGGGATGGGGAGGAGGGGGCGACCAGGGGCACGACCACGGAAGAACAAGAAATCTACGGACGCACCAAAGGTCTCTGAAGAGCCACTTCCCTTCGCTTATTCTTTCTTTCCATGCTTTCAAACAACCCGCTGGTGATGGCTTCGGCCTCTGCGGGGAACGGCAGCCCCACTGTGCACAGCAGAAGCGCTGCCACTGCGCTTCACAGAGGCAACTCTGGCAGGAAAGCAAGGTGGAGTGAGGGGAGCGCAGAGAATGCGGGTCGGGAATCCAGGGCAAGGTGTGGTGAGAGATGGGGTGGAGGGGGAGGAGGACCTGTTAGGATAATGGCGGGAGGCATGGAAAGGAGGGAACGACAGACTTCTGATGTAGAATCAACAGTACTTGAGCTCAGCCGAGCGGGTAATGGAGGGATGAAGAATAGGAAGGGGGAAATGAATAGAACTTTCACAACCCAATTTCTACCAGCAAAGATATCCATGTGAAAGATATGGAAGAATTTTCTTGCTTTGACTGCAGGAGACTAACTGTAAAATTAATACAGCTTTTGATCGCAAGGATAAACCTCTCAATCCCAATGGCAGTTGCACCATCATTTCCTTCTGGGCTCCTCGGGGACCTGGGCTGACCCCCTGTTGCCCCGTGCCAGGGGGCCCAGACAAGGAGGCTCACAGCCGGTCAGATGGAGATACTGTCCCCACCGCAGAAACACCTGCACCTTGACACGCCCTGGGAATCACTCTCCTGTAAGATGGGTGTTCTGTGTGGTATTTTGGAGTCGGGAATATGATGACAAGCTTTCATTTCTGATTGGTTTAAAATAGCCCCAAGGTCTCGAGGACAGCACTCATATGGATAATGGCAGCCTTGGGAAAGAACGTGTACTTCTGCAGCTGAAATGACAGAAGCTCTGCAAGTTCCTCAAAAGCAGGGAGGTTGCCTAGTTCATCGCTGGGCTCTTGGAACCTCCACAGCTGCAAACACAGAGCAAGTATGCAGCAAGTGCTCAGAAATGGATGGATGGATGGATGGATGGATGGATATGAGGATGTATTGCAGATGAGATCTAGCTGGTCAAAAACAGGCTCAGCCATGTCTCTGGTGATCAATGGGCATAACTGTACATGAGTCATGAGTTGTTGCCTCTAGCAATTAAAGCGTCACTTTCTAAGCTTATAAGACCAGAACTAAGAGGCTGATTAATTTCTCCTAGGCCTGCGTCCTTTGACCTTTTTAAGTCGCAGATGGCTTTGAGAAGTCAGTGAGGACTACAGACTGGTCCCCCAGAAAAATGTGGAGGCATCTGTGCACATACACACACAGCCTGGCTCACACCTGGCAGATAACTTCAGGAGGTTCAAAGATCCAGATACCGTGGGGCCTGATGCTTTCTCTCAAAAAAAATCAATTCAAAATTATGTACAGGTACTTGGAGCAGGCCCCTCAAAGTGAGAGGTCCTGAGTCTTAAGCTTTACCAGCTTCAGGGAAGATCTATCCCAACCCTCAGCTCTGAATGCTGGACCTTGGTTCTGTGTCCGCAATTCCAGAAGCTGCCAGTCGGTGATGACTGGTGTTGGACCAGGGGTCAGGCTGCCCTGGGGCAGGACTAGGTGAGTCTCAAGCTTTAATCATTTGCGTATGCTTAGTCACTCGGTTGTGCCCAACTCTTCGTGACCCCATGGACTGTAGCCCACCAGGCTCCTCTGTCCATGGGATTCTCCAGGCAAGAATACTGGAGGTGGGTTGCCATTTCCTTCTCCAGGGGATCTTCCTCATCCAAGGATCAAATCCACGTCTCTCATATCTCCTGTGCTGGCAGCCGGATACTTTACCACTGAGCCACCTGTTTGGTTGGTTTTATGAAGATCCGCTGTAGAAGGGATAGGCTACCCACTCCAGTATTCTCCGGCTTCCCTTGTGGCTCAGCTGGTAGAGAATCCGTCTGTAATGTGGGAGACCTGGGTTGGAAAGTCCCCTGGAGAAGGGAATGGCTACCCACTCCAGTATTCTGGGCCCTGGAGAATTCCATGGACTGTATAGTCCATGGGGTCACAAAGAGTCGGACACGATTGAGCGCCTTTCACTTTTTAACACCTTCTGCTTCACAAAGCTACAAGAATAGGTAAAGTATTTGTGCTCCGAGTCTGAAAAAAAAAAAAAAATCCCTTTGACTGTTAACAAGAGTTTCATAAAAATTTTTCCTCTGCTCCTTCCAAGTTATTTGCCATAAAATTACGCTCAAAAAAGAAATGGCACCTATTAAACTACTATTGTAGATTACCTGGGGCTGGGTCTGCCTTAGTCATTCTTTCTCAGGCACTGATGTTTTTTCCTCTCTCACGCAAACATTGAACACACTTGAACATAACTGACCCTGTTATGTTCAGCACTCTCCTGTCTTGGAGGGACAGGCTGCATCAGAGGAGCATATGGGAGTGCAGTGGCATCTCTCCACAGCCACAGGAAGCCCCCTGACCTGCCACTCTCCCTGAGATCAAGGTGAGCTTGACAACAGGGCAGCAGAGAGAAAATGCAGCCTGTCTTTACCACGCTGTGCTTCTGTTATTATCTCTGCTCAGTCGTATTTGACCCTTTGCGACCCCATGGACTGTAGCCCGTCATGCTTCTCTGTCCATGGAATTCTCCAGGCAAGAATACTGGTATGGGCAGCCATTCCCTTCTCAAGGGGATCTTCCTGACCCCGGGATCGAGCCCAGGTCTCCTGCATTGCAGGTGGATTCTTTACCATCTGAGCCTCCAGGTCTTCACTCCGTACCAATTCACGATCTTGATTAAAAGAGTCTGATGATATGTTTTTAAATATGATTGAAAAAAAGTTTCTCAGATGACAGAGTAATTGGTAGCCAATTACAGTGTAGCTTTGTACATTTCAACTGTCAACTACCACTCGGACACTGAAGGAAAAGTAATTTGGAAATAAGGAAATATAAGGACTTTCTCATAAAGTCCAAGTTCCTCTAACATGCAAATGCACAA